GTTTTCTTAATCTATAGAAAATCTTACGCGCTCGAAAATTTATCGCAAGAACGCAGATATCTGAGCAAAGTCAGATCCCAGACGCGACTCGAACGATCAAGTCCGGCTGACATGACGAGCACCGGTTCACTCATCGTTTCAAACATATGAGTGCTGGAAGGCAATGTCACGAAAGCCATTGAGATGAGAAAGTAAGAGCGACTTTGGTGGCGTAATGGATAATGCACTCCCCTGATAGACAGGAGTTCTGGGTTCAAATCCAGTCTGCGGTACGCATTTTGCACATAACTCAGCGTTTTTGTGATAGCTTCGAGCTGAGAGTGTCATTGTGCAACTTCGTAAAATTACCGCTCTCCCATCGATGGGAATCAGCGAAAGGCTCATCATAACCAAAGAGGACAGCATTTTTCTCCAACTAAAACTTCAGTCACTCTCGAATTGCCCCTAATTATTCTTTTTGCTGCCGTCTTGCACCAATAAAAAAGCAGGACTTTATAAACACACGCTTTTAGTGAGAACCTGTTATTTCTTCGTGACACAAGTGCATGACAATCATGCACACGTAAACTGCCAGGGAACCCCACATGCCTATCATCTGTCTGGGCCACATGGCAGCTCTTGAGAGGTCTTCCAAGCCCCGCATCGGAATACAGCATCGTTGGGAGAATCCCATCAGGAGGTCGCACTTTGTCGAACGCTGGGAAGAATTTGGAAGACGGTAGCAAGAACAGGGAGAAGAGGGTCGCACCTGTAGAAGGCTTTGGTGGGGGGGGGGTGGGGAAACGGTCGTTGACAGCTATTACTCTCATAATTACCTCATCCAGTTTACTTCACCTGGCCGTAGCCTACAGAGTCAGTGTGCGACGGAGAACAGTCAAGCGCACCGCTCAGAGTATTCTGCAAAAGGACAATCTGAGAACAACCATTCATGAAATTTTCGAGGTTCTTGGATGAAACCAAAGACACCAGTATTGTGCTCGGAGCCCTGCCCCTACATTTCTTTACTTTGAGCCAAGGTCTAATAATATAACCCGTAGAAGCATAAAAACATACCGGAATGCTCTTCCATTTCGTTCAGATAACCTTTCAATTCGGACTCTGCTATTTTGTTTTCAGATAGGAACAGACGATGAAAAACTGCTTGACCATCGCTGACATGTTCCAAGACAGAACGGGCGCTGGCGACAACGAGAATAGACGAGATCCACAACAATCGCAACATTAAGGACGGACCAGTAAAAAGTTGTGGAAATGTGCACTCGACTTCTGAATAACAAATGTTAGTTTAAGATAAGAACCAGATCTTCCAAAATGTTCTTCGAGACATTCCCACTCCAATATTCATCGATAGGACCTGCAATAAAAAACAATAGGAGAAGAGATAATGGAAGAAATTGAAATTAGTAAGCAACTTTCAGAGTAGATTGCCTTTCACTCATGTCTCTTCTTTGAAGTAACACGAAAGCGTAACTGACGTCCGCGTTACAGTAAGTTAAGACGTAGCCACACCCACCCTCCACCCCCTAAGTGTAAACACCAAGGCGTAACCTATGTGGTGCACATTGCGTGTTGTTTGAAAACAGTGAAGCTCCAAAGACACATATTATGTTGTGCGGTGACGGAATACCAGTACTGTAATCCAAAAGTACAACTGCAAAGGCTGAGTGACCCACACACTAACGAATGAGAACACCCATTGTAGGTATAAAGCTTAAAATCGAGACACTAGGACACAGGTGAGAGACTAAACAATAGTGGAGGATGCCGAGATGACAAAAAGGGAGAGAAAGCAGAAACCAAAGTCCATCTCCTCCTCGCCCTTTCCGCTTCGGATTAGGTCGCCATGGGATGCAGATGTAACAAAGTAGGCACTCTGCGCTAAAGGACCGGTCTTCACACTGACTGCTTCACCTGGCTGGTCGACGAACGCGCATTCATTTCTCTTACGTGATCATTAATTTGGTACATTGGTAGCATTCAACTGCGCTCACCCAAGCCTTCATTTTCATCCTCAGAGAGCAGTAAACGGAGCAGTCATTTGTAGAGACAG